ATAGAATTAGCAAATGCACTCTGCATGAATAACACGTTGACCACTTTGTATCTAGATAGTAATAATTTTGGATCGGACGTCGGAATAGAATTAGCAAATGCACTCTGCATGAATAACACGTTGACCACTTTGTATCTAGATAGTAATAATTTTGGATCGGACGTCGGAATAGAATTAGCAAATGCACTCTGCATGAATAACACGTTGACCACTTTGTATCTAGATAGTAATAATTTTGGATCGGATGTCGGAAAAGCATTTGCAGATGTTCTTTGCAAGAACACTGCTCTGACTTATCTGTATCTTGGTAGTAATAATCTTGGATTAGGAGGAGGAAAAGCATTAGCGGATGCACTTTACAAGAATACCACACTGATTTATTTGGATCTTAGTCAAAATAATCTTGGATCCGAAGGAGGAAAAGCATTTGCGGATGCACTTTGCAAGAACACTACGCTGACTTATTTGAATCTTAATTATAATGATCTTGGTTTAGAAGGAGGAAAAGCATTAAAAGATGCACTTTGCAACAATAATACCCTGAAAACATTGGATTTTTATGAAAGTATAAAGTTGGATTGCCTTCTATATTCAAATGATTGCCTTATATATTCAAATCAATGGTAAGAATTAGAATTAGGATTAGGGTTGAATTTAGAGAAATTGCAAGAGGATCATTTTTTATTATGTTTCACGACAGGGTTACTCTAGTAAATTTTGTGATATTGAAATAGTGCAGGGTGCACCAAAAAATGATGCCATTTATAGCAAGTTTTTCGTAAAATCAAAAAATTTAAATATCAAAATTTATCAATGAAATGTATAATATAAATGTGATTATGGTTGTAATTTACGGAATTAATGCAAAAATTAATGAAGTACTAAATAAATAACAAACTAGAATTCAGAACGATAGTATATTTATATTTAATATATATTTATTTAATATAATTAATAAAAAAATAAAAAATTTAATATTATAATCTCTTAAAAAATAAAATAAGGCCACATAAAGTTTATTCTTCGTTTTGCATTACTCACTGACCCGGTTTTTTTTAAAAACTCAATTATTTTTACGATAACATTTTATTTTAAAACAAAAATAATTATTATTATTTTAGTGTTGCTAATGAAAAAATTCACCGAACTCTATATCTCAAAAATTTACTAACTTACGTCAGAATTACTAAGCGCCAAGCATTGTCTAAAATTATACTCTAAGCCTAAATTTTAATAATAATTAAAGGTTGAAAATTTACCCGGTTAAATGTAGTTATTTTCTACTTATTTTAATCCCAATATAATTACACGTGATTGTCAACCAATCATACCTCTAATTTTGGCAAATCGGCCAATCAGATTGCAACAAAAAAGTTGTAGAATTCACCGTGATTCAAAGGATATGTTATAAGGCGAAACAAAAACATCAATTCATCCGTTAAATTGACTCTCGTTCATAGAAAATTAAGCTACCAGAGCTTTTAAAAGTACTGTAAAATATATAAAAAAATTATTTATCAATTGTGTAACCATATCGGAATCATCTACGAATTTGAACTGTCGCTTCTGGAACATTTCGTGATGGTACCCTTTATGGAATCTGATTTGTTGGACATAGTAGCGTGAGTAAAATTTACATTATTGTCGAGACGATGCTGAAATTTGAACTTATTTGTTTTAGAGTTGTGTTAAGATTAGAGTTCATGATTTATATTTTCAAATCAAGGCACCAAATTTCAGCATCATCCATTTCAGTATCATCTACGATTTATATTAACACAGTTAACGATTCAATTAAAATTGAAAGTGTCTATAAACTAGAGATAGTAAAAAAAAACGCTTTTTAACTTGATTTAATAAAATGGTTTAAAATATTGTCGATTATGGCGTTGATGGATGAAGTTGAAATTACTGTATCTAATTGGTTAATTTTAAATTCCATCTCTAGGTTCTTGGGTTAGTTGTTTCAATATCTATAATACTAAAGATATAAGTGCGTGTCCGGAATAATACGAATCTGATTGGTCCATTTTATTAACGTGATCGCTATTATCTACATGATCTACATATGCAGGTACTACTTACCGTTGTTACGTTCGTTTCTGATTCATCCCAAGATCCTACTATCGTTTTACGGACACTTCCTCCCCTTACATTTTTTGCGATAATAATTTTGAAAATTATTCCAAATTTACATTTTCTATTTTTTCAGATAACGACTTCGGCTATGACAATTATGTCTATGGCAATTATATCGAATGTAACGATTTTAATAATTTTAATTATTATAGTGATATTAATGATATTGAAACAAATAATTTATTTGACATCAAACCGACTAAAATATCTCTTATTTATATGAAATTAACTTTTGTTAATACTAAGTTCAAATTTTTCTCCCATCTTCCTTTTTTTAGGATCACCTTTTTTCTATAAAGGAATTGTGTATCGATTCGTTTCGTATTTGTCAACCAATTTTTCCCTCTATGTTCATCCATTTTTTGTATAATGGATAATAAGACACATAATTTTCTATGGTTGTTTGTTTATGTATAATACAATCTTAATTTTGTAATTTAATCCCGTGGTTAATTCTATTCAACTATAACTTATGTATATATATATGTAAATAAAAAAATTCATAAATAAGTCATGATTGCTTTTATATAATTATATGTAATTTTTTTTATATGAAATTCTAGTTTGACCCGGGTCAAAGTCACCAAAATTATTACTGATTTGGATTTTGAACAGGAAGATCACATAATGGAATCAATGGATCAGGAGATTCCTTCGGAGTGGCCTTTGATTTACGATGATACATTTTTTTGTTATTTTCGCCAGATCTTCTTGGTCGATAGACGTATCCAGGATGAGCAAGCATATGTTCCATTTTTTTTTATCGGCCAATTTTTGCCAATAATGGTTTACATATTTGTCTTCGTTTCTCCAAAGCTTGGCAAGTATTTTTGAAATTTTAGCATTAGAAATATTCCCATATTCCTGAGTAACTTCCGCTTGTTTTGAACGCCTATATAATATAAAAGCATTTGGAGGACGAGGAGTTCTATCTTCAGAAGATTGCTGCTCCAAATTTTGTGTTTTTTCGACCTCGTTATTTAATAATGACGAATCTGAATTCAAGACATTATAAGTAATAGGTTGTTTATTTTTTATAGGAGTTTGAGGTGTAACTCGAATTGGTTCCATGAAGGAGGTAATAACAAGATTTTCTTGAGTTCTTATGATTGATGGTTAGTGTTGAAGAATTCAAATTGCCATTAGATTTGTAGGAAAAGGAAGGTGGCGTATCAAACAATAGAAGGCCACAATATTTTCGTCGAATCGTTTCATCCATGATTTCTATAATATGAGAATTATAGCGAATGTATTCCATGATTAATTCCTTTTATAAAGGTAGAGAAGCCATGAATTTTAGACAATAAAAAAAAGTACATATTTAAATTAACATTTGAAGGCGTCAGCAATCTTTACGAATATTCATTCATAGTGATGATAATTCATTAACTAAATGGGGATATAACCTTATACGAAGATCCCTAGTTCTTTGTTTACACAATCCACCGTAACGGTATTGGGTAAATATGGGTAAATATAGTATGTAAATATAGTATGTAAAAGCAGTGTAACAATCAGATTAAACTATAAAAAAAAAATTCAACTTTTTATCTGAAAAAAAAACGTTAAACAAAAAGTCAAATAAGAACAAAATAAAAAATTATCAATATACATAAAACAAAATTTTAAAATTTATCAAAGTTAATTTTTCGATGGTTCATAAACCGACTCACCAAACTGTAGTATAGCATCAAACTAATAGGATAATAAGGTGATGGCTTAGTCAAGAGAGATTTGTTTTTTTTTTTTTTTTGCCGATATGGTTTCATTGAACTAAAGATAAGGTTGAAGATAAGATTAACGAAACATGTGCATCTATGGTGGCTAATTCTGGTAGTTCCAAATAGAGGTCAAAAAAAACTAAAGGACTCTGTGAACAAATGCATAAATCATGTTAAATCATGAGATTTAATTTATTATTACGCATTATAGTAAAGCTATTAGAGGATTATACTTTAGTATAATCTAGAAATATAAATCATTTTATACTGTGATTTATATATTACTCTATACAGATTATTATAAAATGTAAATAGAGTAACTATCGAAATTTGAGAGAGCGTCAGTAAGTGGCCAAGTTTAGATCAGTGATAGTGAACGAAAAATAATATTAATGTAAGATAGGGACAACAATAAGTGCAGAGTTATAAGTTTAGGTATTGATTAGATAAGCTCACGGACATCAATGTCTGCGAATGTCTGTGATGTAATATAGTTGTAATAATTATATGATAAAAATAAATAAATAAATAGAATCGTTAAGCTGTCTTAATGATAGGGATATCGGGATATAATAATGACAAGATCGTGAAGATGTATTAATAACAGACAAATACAAAATACGATATAAATATGATTCACTTAAACAATCTTTATTTATAAAGGAGTAATACTTTAGATCTAACCTCTAAGCCCAACCTACAAGCAAAACCTAATGATAAGCAAAGCAAACATGAGGCATTTATATACATTAACTAGAGGATGCAGATGTGGGCGGCTTCGCCACCCGGTTGAGGCTGTTATGTATTTAGGGATGGTGCAAGTTTTTATAAGGATAAATTTTACATTGTAGAAATAAAACTTACGTGTTTAAGGGATTTATTTACTAAGAACAGAAGCATCAGAGTGGTAGACTTAAATCAAGTATTAAAGCCTTCGTTTATTGCAGTTAAAGTCAGGCAGAAGTTTGTCTATATGGTTAATAAATTCAATTTAATTTTACATTATCTATACAGTTTAGAGTATTTTTTAAAAAAAATGAAAACTAATCATAATGAAATAAAAAAAGCTATATAGAAGGTTTTATTAGAGTTGTAGAACTTCATAGCCAAAAATAAGATCTAATTCTCGTCTGTTTAAAAAAGTTTGTATAGTAATAACTTCTCAAATCTGATAAAATCAACTTATTACTAAGCTAATTTTTTTAAACAGACAAATTAGATCTTATTTTTGACTATTGAGTTATACAGCTCTAATGAAATCTTCCATATAGCTTTCCTTTACTTTATTATAGTTGGTTTTTGTTTTTTTTTAAAAAAAAGTCTTCTAAGCTGTATAAATAATGTAAAATTAAATAGAATTTATTAGCAATCAGACAAACTTCTGCTTATAGCAGTTAATAAAAAGGTTGGATTCTATATATTTATTAAATATTTGTTTTATTAATAAATTAAAGTATAATTGGTTTGATAGCAATAGTATTTATATTAAATAACTAGTACATAATTATGTGGTGGCTTCACTGCCAACTAATAATTAGATATAACAGTATATGATATTAACAGACACTGACAATTTGATAATACATGATTAATTGTAAAATCAAAAAATATATATTAAAGTGGTATTCTATCTGTTATTTTTCATAGTTCTTGGCTTTGCTTAAGCTTTAAGTTTTTTATGTTTTGCCTCATTTTGCTTGTCAGGTTTTAAACTCTACATTTTTTTACCATATTTTAACAATCATTAATTGCTAACTTAAAGTTTTAATAATATAAATACAATTTAAATTTAGATACTAAAACTTTATATACAGGAACATAAATACATAAAGCTAGTTTTGAAAATAACCAATGCAATAACTTATAGCCTCAATTCAAGCTCAGTTTTACATTTATTATGTTTTGTCTTGCTTCGCTTGACATTGTTTTAAATTTTAAATATATCAATCTTATCATACAGGTTTTAATCAAAATTTATAATCATATAGATACTAATTCATATCAATTTAGAAATGATTATAGAGTTAGCATTAATCATGATAAAGATATAATTTAAATTTGTTAAATTTTTATTTAACATATTATTCTCTTATAAGAATCGTATATTTGTTTTTTGTATAGAAGTATATATACAAGTACTTGTACATATACTTATATATATACAAGTTCATGTACAAGTACTTGTACTTGCATCTAGTATTAAAAAATAAAAAATGCAAAATTTCTTTTCTAGGTATTGTGAGAAAATTAGTTTAATGATCATATGTACAAAGATAATACGAACTAATATAAAAAGTCAAGCTACTAACTATACATAGTAAACATATTTTACACTACATTATTTAATGCAGAAAGACTATTATATTGCATAAACTTATATAGCAAAGTAGACTGGTTAAAATTTAATAGGGGTAATTAAGCTAATTATTGAAATTATTATATAAGATTCATTATTTGATTTATGATTCAGTAATAGTAACTGACATATTGTTTAATATGTTTAAGCAGTAAAGACTAAATTCACAGTTTAATATGTTTAAGCAGTAAAGACTAAATTCACATAAGCAAATGCATATCTACATTAGTATATACTCCTGTAGTATATAGGCATAAGGTTTTCAATAAGGCTTAGCCAAGATAATAAGACATAAAATAATAAAATTAATGAGAAACATGATTTTAACCAATTACTGGATTCATTTTGACTTAATTAAATTATTAGTACTATATAATTAATGCTATACAATAATTATTATTATCAATCACATCTCATATTATATTAAAAATCATCACAAGCCTTAATCATGATATTGAATACAAAGATGGTCAAATTTTTTCACTATGATCTTTGACAATTACTGATTATCATTTCATCTACTTAGCAAAAAAATCTAAAAAAACAAAAAAATATAAAATTTAAGAAATAGCTATTTACAAATTAAAACAACTATTCAAAAATAATAAATATAATCAAAATTGTATATCCAATACTTAGTGATTAATACCCCAATTTCTTGTATCTACATGTAGTATCTACTAGTACAAAAGTATATATAAAAAGGAAGGAGTAAATTTTTCCTTTATAAAACAAAAGAAGACTAAATTCCTGGGTTGCATTCTGAAGATAAAAACCTTTTAAAAAGATTTTTAAAGATAAATAGAAACTTTAGGATTTTATAAAACCTGAAGCTTCAACTACACAGATATTTTGGCCAGGATTTAATCAATTGTTAGTTATATAACAAATAGTACTAGGCATGTTTATTATAGCAAAAGAAAGAAATTATAGTAACATTGATTTTTTTTCTAGTATTTTTTAGTTTAATTTATCTTTCAAAAAAATAATGTTATACAAAAAATAAATGCCATGATCATACCTTAACAAATATACAATAAATGTAAAGCTTTCATTAAGGCTTGGCTAGAATTATAATGCTAATACAAATGGCATATAGAAACTATTTATTAAACATTTCACCTCAATACCAACACAGCCATAAAATGCACAATAACATATCGCAAGCTCAACACCAACCATGTTGTGTTAATATATTTAATACTAGTTATACCAGTCATATACTATACTCACAATTATTGAACACAATTTTTTGCCAAAAAAAAATTCAAATTCTTTTGTTACGAACTTTCTTTTTGGTTTTTGATGATCAACAATTATCAAATCATATACTCAGCAAAAAACATGAAACAAAAAAATCAAAAAATTCGACAAACAAATCTCATTTAAAATACAAAAAAAATAGATAAAATGAAAGTTTACAAACCAAATCTGCTATATTCAGCATCGAAGGTTTGCATACAGTATTTGGTACTAGTACTAGAACAAACGAACTGTACAGAATGATATAGCAATATCTAGCGCTAGTACCATAGTACTATAAAAATAGCAGGTGCAGATCATTCCTTTCATATAATTACGAGGAAATTATATCGATATTGACGATCTCACATCAAAGAATAAATAGGCATATAAAAAAAAACTGGAAAGATCAATGTACTGCAAGCCATAAATAGCAAAAAACCGGCACATACATGACCACAATGATACAACAAAATTGAGTAGAGATAATTATCGATTTTGCCGATCTATGTAGTCACTATCAATTTTTACTGACTCCTTACATGGATTTGATTAATTGTCCGAAGGACATTACGGTAGAAGCATAGTGACCCCGATGACTGTGTGTGTTCGCAAATCCTGGATTATTATTGGTTGCCTAGATCAAAACGTATAGTGTGTGTGTGTTCGCGAATTACGAAATTTGATTTGTCAATCAGACCAAATCAACGTTTTGTCAGACTAATCCGGATTCGTATTTATTCTTTCATTCA